TATATATATATATATATATATATATATATATATATATACACACACACACACATGAATATATGCATGCTTAAACATCTGCCAATGAAACTAACTTTGGGCGCATATAGAAAAATCTTTCAAAAGGACCACAAATTGAGTGGTGGGGTCTAACTCTTTCATGTGTAGCAACTTCATATTGTTATATGATAGCCAAGTGCATAAAATTGTCCCCAAATTAATTACAAAATAAAGGCAGAATGACTTTTTTAAATAAACATACTTAATCCATATTTTTGTCTCTAGTTTAGATCTAGTTGGATAAGTTAATTTAATTAATTTTAGTGCTTAGTGTTGAAGTCTTGTTTTAATATATAATTATTTGGAAAAAAAAAAGATATATAATATGGATTAAATAGAAGGGAAGGTCATGGTGGTGGTCCATCAACTATACTACTGGTCATTTGCCTTGCATATCAAGCGACCTTGTACCTCTCTCTCTCTCTCTCTCTCTCTCTCTCAAACATTCGTGACAAAAGAATCATGATCACCACTCTAGCTCTTTTTTATTTTTATGGGAGATTAGTTTAATTTATTGTTTATATTTCTATTACCAGCTTTTTTGCAATTTCTTATGAAAATAATGACTTGTGTCAAGTCCTCATTTTTCGGTTGGTAAAATTTTTCTTACTACTAAGATATAAAAATTTAACTTCATTACATCGGTTAAAATTAAATTCAATTATGTTCAATCAAGAATATATTTTTTAACTTATAGTCAGTAATGAATTCAAAAATTTGAGTGAGTTAAGATGGATTCAGGCTAGTACGCAGGGCCATCGAGCGGCCGCTTAATATATGAAAAATATTTTCGGCAAATCCAGCACTGACGATTGCCATGGCTCGTCCGATGTTGGCTCCGCCATTGCTTTTAGTGATGGATTTTCTTATGGGCTAAATGAAAGATTCTTTTAAGAATAATAACCTTTTTTGCTACTCTAGTAATGATTTTTTTACCTCAAAATTCCAGGTTCAATATTTGGTGTATGTCAACCTAATAAATATTGATATCCACCTTTTGCAATGGAAAATAAATATTAATGATAATTATTAATAGTAATATATAGTTTTGTATTATTATGATATGGGGTTGGATAAATTAATAATTAGTTAAGTATGATACTTATACAGTTGGGGTTGCTATTCTTTTGAGTGTGTTTGTAAGTAATTGTCGTGAAGGCCGTTTCCTAGCTTTTGCTTTACCAGTCAAGAAGACCTTAAGGTGGAACTTTACAGAAGAAAAAAATCTCTCTCTCTCTCTCTCTCGCACACACACAGAAACCGGCTACATGGTGGTGCTTACATTAGCAAAGAGATTTAAAAGCGGTATATAGGGTAAGAGGTACCTTTTCCTTTATCTCACTGGTTTCAGTTAAAGTGAAGGGAATTCTGGTGTTTTCCATGGTTAAAGCAGGTTTTATAACTCAATCCCACCTTCACAGTTTCTTCTTTTTCCTCTCTCTTCTCTCTCTTGTGTCTCTTAAGAATATTTTCTCTTTCAGGGTTAATCTCTCTCAGAGATTTTTTGTTTTTTCTTCAATCTTTTCAGCTGAAGATTTAATTTTTTTATTAAAAAATTTGCAAATATTTTTCTTGTTATTAAGGATTTCTTCTATATGTGATTATATGCAGCGATTGATTATTTTTCTTTTCCAAATCACTCTCTTGTTTCTTTCAGTCTACAGAATATCTGTATACATCAGAGTTCCATCTGCAGATACAAGAAATTATAGGGTTCTTGCAGAAAGGTGGGATTCATAAATAATTCTTGGTCGATTCACGAGAATAGTGATGAATAAGAATTCTCAGCTAGGATCTGTCAATAGTTCTGATCTTATTGATGCAAAGCTTGAAGAGCATCAATTATCCAACCAGTGTCCTGGTTGTGGACATAGGCTTGAAGGGAAGCCGGTACGTATGATGATTGCATATAATATTCTTGGCTTCAATTGAAAGATTTTTAGGCAAAAAAGAATAAGTACAATATTAAGAAGTTTCTTAGTTTCTTGCTCATTTTTGTACTGATCTTATTCTAGGAATATTACTTTTTCAAAAGAAAAATTATAAGTTTTATACCTACTGTTGGATTTTTGCTTTTGCTTTTCCTTTTATGCAGGTAATTTTATTTATTAGTTTCGTGATATTGAACTTGACTGGAGCTTGCAGGATTGGGTAGGGCTACCGGCCGGAGTAAAATTCGATCCAACCGATCAGGAATTAATCGAACACCTCGAAGCAAAAGTAGAAGGAAAAGGATCAAAATCACATCCTTTGATAGATGAATTCATTCCTACTATTGAAGGTGAAGATGGAATTTGCTACACTCATCCTGAAAAACTTCCAGGTCACAACTACTCTCTCCAACTTTCTTTGTATATTGATGGATTGTTTCTTCTACCATAATTCAAAGAGTTAGGTTATACTTCTCTCTCTCTCTATATATATATATATATGCACATATGTATTGGTTTTATTAAAGTGAAAGTTGAAGAAATTTTAGGGTTTGGGAAATCTTTAGTCTCTTAGTTTGTTCCAACTAAGTAAACCTAACTTTGATTTGTTTTCAGGAGTAACGAGAGATGGATTGAGTAGGCATTTCTTTCATAGACCATCAAAGGCATACACTACTGGCACAAGAAAGAGAAGAAAAATCCAAACCGAATGCGACTTACAAGGGGGCGAAACCCGGTGGCACAAGACAGGAAAAACCAGGCCAGTAATGGTGAATGGGAAGCAAAAGGGGTGCAAGAAAATCTTAGTTTTATACACAAACTTCGGTAAAAATAGAAAACCAGAAAAAACAAATTGGGTGATGCATCAATACCATTTAGGCCAACATGAAGAAGAGAAAGAAGGGGAGCTTGTGGTTTCCAAAATATTCTATCAAACTCAGCCAAGGCAAAGCAATTGGTCTGAAAAAAGTAGTAATTTCAGTAGCGGTGCTGCTGACGTCGAAGCCGGAAATAGTGATCCAAATAGTAGAAAAGATAGTGGGAATTGGCCGTCTAAGGATATAATTCTTCATAGAGATGAATTTTCTGCTGCTGCTGGGGCTTCTATGTCAAGTTACAGTGCAATTGATATTCAGCATTTGAAGGCTGCAGACCATTTCAGCAATATTCTACCATTTGGAAAATCCTTTGATGAGGTATGTCACTTATTTCTCTATATCTCAAAATCCTGCATTTCATGAAATGGATTATTATTATTTTTATTTTTATTCAAAATAAATATGCTGAATTTGTTGTTGGCAAGTTGTACTTTTTAAGTAAAAGATCAATCATCTTATATTCCATATGTTGTAGTATTTTGTCATATATTCCTATATTCTTTTTTCTTTCTTTTTGAGCTTATAACAAGGTAGTTCAATGTGACAAAAGTTATAGTCGAGTTCATGTCTCGTGCCAACTCATTTATCAAAATTGTGCAGCTTTGAATAGAAAAATAATAATTTGGTATGCATTTGAAGGGACGTGTTGAAATTACTTTGGATTTTACATAAGCTAATTCAAGACAATATATTCTATACTGATAATTAATGAAAGAATATTCTTATCGAAAATAATATGTGAAATCATTTTGTTTTTCTCCCAAAGTATTCTTAACAAAGTAAGCAGTCATGAATATATGTTTTGTGTAAAAAACGACATCAAGTGAAAGGGCTACTTTCACATTCAGATTGCTGTGAAAATAATAGCTTGACTTTCTTGATAATTACAGTAAGTTGGCTACTCAGAAAACTTGCAAAGAAAAACTAAAACTATAATTAGATAAATAAAGAATATATATTAGGAGCTTGAAAACTGACTAGCCAGCTAGCAAAATTTATCAACTGGTCTGATTAGTTTTTTTGTAGGCTGGAATTGGAGAGACTTCAATATCAAGGGAAGCTCCGGCCGGAGCGGCGGCCGCCATGGGCACGTGCGAAGAGCGTGACATACAGCCGCACCACGTGACTCATGAACCACAAGAACACCACCAACAGCATCAGCAGCACCACCACCACCACCATCATCAGATTGCAACTACAGCATACCACATCAGCAGGCCTTCACACTCAATTTCCACCATTATTCCTCCACCTTTCCTCCATCACACCTCCATTACTATTCTTGATGACAACTCCTTCCATGTCCCTAGAATCATGCTCCCAACTGAAAGTTTCCAGGTAAATAAAGAACACAAGCCACATTTTATTGAAACCTTAAAGCTAATAAGACAAACTAATCAACATTAATTTGTGGGTGAAAGCCTCATTTTCATGAAACCTACAAGAAGTAGAAAATAAAAAGCCTCATTTTCCTGGAACTAAATGCATGTTTGGAGAAGATTTAAAATTGACTTATAAGTGCCTTACTTATAAGTAAATCAAGAAAAATAACTCATTTTCTTGAATGTTATGAATAATTAGTAAGGCCACAATAAGTTAGTCACATGATTATAAGGCATGCTTAGGCTTGCCATGATGGCTAAGTCAAATAACTGATCAGGGATGGCTATATATTTTGACTTCACATTTTTTGTCTTTTTTCAGACAATACATGATCCTATAGATGATTATGTTTGGTTTTAAATGAATACAAATATATGTACAGACACATTTATTTATATATTTATATATTTTTTTGGCACAGCAACAGCAGCAGCCACAACAAGAACATAAATTAGGAGGAAGGTCTGCATCAGGATTAGAGGAACTCATAATGGGCTGCACTTCAACTGACATGAAAGAAGTAAGTATTACACAACTTTTTGACTCTGAAATGCATGGTTCTTATGTGTCGAACTGGAAACTAAGCGGTGCAAAAGAAAAGTTAAAAAAAGCTAATTAATTATTTGAAAGCTAGCTACTTATATCCTATGGTTAATATGTCATGATTATAGAACTGAAAGAAAGATTCATGAAGAAAGAAAGAAAAAATCTAAAGAGATGAAATAGTCCTTTTCTTTATTACTTTATCTCCCTTTTTCTTTACCCATTTAGTTTTTTAGAAGGTCACACTGCCTTAAACTATATTCATTAAAAACTGTTCAAAGTAAACAGATTTATATTGCCATGCTATATATGGACATTGCGAATGAGGAAAAAAAATGTTATAGGAGAAATATGATTATTTTTATCTCTACTCGTGTTTTTCAATTTTTGACCACAAGGGCTCCTCTCTATTATCTAAAAACTGAAGTAATTATAAAAAATACACACAGTTATTTACTTAAAGTCGTTAGCATGCATCCTCACATGTAGACCATATTCATTTTTTATTAAAGGTGTAACACAAGAATAGTTTTCATAAATGAGTAATAGCGAATAATGATCCCAATATTTTTTCTTCAAATTGAACCATCACATCTAAAACCTCAAACATTTAAAGAGAGAATGTATTTATTTAACTAAATTTAGTCTACAGTTTATTCTGTCTGTATATTTCGTCCATGGAAGTTATTTTTTTTCTTTCCTGAAACTTTTTTCTTGTTTCTGCCATGCATGTTGGCAAGAACCTCGTAATTATGCAACTGAAAATAGCACCCGATGTGAATATAAAAGCCTTCAATCGTGGAAACTGCAAGAATCCACCTTTCCCCTACTTTTGAACAATTAAAGTTATAAAAATGGAGCTCTAACCTTTTCTAAGGCTGTTTTAAGATTGAATTCCTACTTAAGAGAAGAATCCCAAAAATTAGTGCAAATTGAGAATATAATAAAGACAATAAAAATCTAAGCTATATCCCTTCAAATGAAAAAGAAGAAAGATAGTGGTCCAAAACTTTTTCCTATGTAGCATCCTAGGAAAGAAAGAAATGAGAGTTAATGTAAATCGATGAAAAAATTTGATTTCATAGAGAAAAAGAAAGAGACAGTTTTTTTTCATTTCAGCTTCTTTTGAAAATGTTAACAAAACTTGTTCTCGAGCCCTACATACACAAAACTGTACAATAATTGTTGAACTACCTCCTTATAAAAGCTAGTTGTTAGTGAGTTTTTAGAGGTGGTGGTTGGTAATAGACTCAAAGTTTCGTCACTGCTATTTTTGTAAACGATGCATGCGTTAGGCCTTGTGCATGTTATAGGATGAGTTGATGACAAGATTTAAATAAATTTGTCACTTTTTATATCAGCTTAAACTTTTAACCCCTTATTTGGCAACCATTATTCGAAAACCATTTTTCTACATACTCATTTTCAACCACAGGTTCAAACAAAATATTCTGCACGTAAACCTAAAACTTTTTCATACTTTTTAACCAAATATTCTCCTGAAATTCTCTATCCAAAAAATTATTTTTCCCAAATAATGACTATCAAACAGGGACTTAAATGAGCTTAAACATTTAGACAATATGGTTTAATGGCACTCATCACACCCACACACACACACACACAAAAACCTAAAACTTGACGAGCTCTTTTTTTGTATTGTCGCAGCCGGAATCATCGATAAATGCGCA